TTAAATATTCAAAAATATTTTATTTCTTAAACAAAATGATAATGAATTTATATAAAAATTACAGAAACAAACTATAAAATATCGTCTATATTGAAAATCTACAATTTTCTTATAAAATATATGAAAAAATTTGGAATAAATTCTTGAAATTATGGAATTACCAGCAAATTCAAATAGAATGTTAATTATTTAATTATAAATAAATCAAATAGCTTCTATCGATATAAAAAAAATATTATATTTTTGAAAAAAAAAATAATCGTTTTGCCCCCCTATTGGAAGCAATCCAAACTAGTACATCCCTTCTTAGATGAATATCAAAATATTTTTTAGACTTGTGGCTAGCTCTTCGGATAATTTTTATATTTTCGGATCTTTTATTTTTTTATAAGCCCTATATAGAAGATTCTCGAATATTTGTGAAAATTTAAAGATATTTGCGAATCTTCCTGGAATCTTGAAGAATTCGTTTAGGTCAAATTTCTTGGAATTTTTAGAATTCGGATCGCCTGATTCGAAATATCATAGATTCCCTGTTGCAAATCCTTCCCCAATCGAATATAATTGACTCATAAATTCTTCCCATCGATGTGCAAAGATCCTTGATAATATCGTATAGTGACGAGCGAGTGCCTTCAAATCATTTGGATTTTTTATAATAGATAAGTAAATAGATATATAGAATCGGAGAATATTATCGAATGAGAGAAATATAGGGGAGAAAAATAAAGACTTATTATATGTCGTAGATATATAGCCGAAGCAATATATATTTCGAGAATAAGCAATCAAAAAATTATTTAGTGACGAATGAAATTGAAAAGAATATTATAAAAAATATATCGAAATCATAAAATATAACTAAAGTGCGACAAATAAAATCTTATTATAAGAATTATAATATAATAAAGAATATAGAATAAATTACATTATCATTATTTCTTTTAATATTAATTTAAATTTTTATATAATATAAATTCATAAATAATCAATAAATAATGAATTCGATAATCGAAATAAAGATATTAAATCCAACATCTTCAAACGCCTATCTAAGAAGAGACAAATTTCCTTACCAAAATCAATATCGAATATAAATATTTATTCCTTGACGTCCTAAAATTTGAATGCAATTATTATTTTTTCAATTACTGTACCATCTCTATAGAATACTAATGAAATATATTTAATCATGGCTGTTGAAAAAACCACCAAAGGACCTACAGAAATAACCAACAATTAATGTCTTCGCACAAGATCTTGAAACCAATTCACCAATTTGTAGCGGAGCTCAGAACACTCGAATAAATATTTATGATAATGCCTAGGAACGCAATATATTATCTCAACCCGAATAGCAACTATAGATACAACCGAGACAGAAAACTACGATATAACAGTGTATCTACACAAATAAGCTAGACAGACAGACAGACAGACAGACAGACAGACAGACAGACAGACAGACAGACAGACACACGGACAGACAGACAGACAGGCAGGCAGGCAGGCAGGCAGGCAGGCAGACAGGCAGACAGACACGCAAACAGACTAGGCCAAAACCTGACGCTTATCGGTCCCTACTCTTATCGGGCCCTATTAGCCCGCCCAATAATTGTGTATCTGCCTGAAACAGATCTGAAACTAGAAGTATTCCGTGCAAAGCGCTGCAAAAAGGAGTTTTCAGAAGCTGGACGTCGTGAGTTTGGCACAGGAGGCACTTGCCGAAGAGTTTTGGACATGGACCGTGTTGCCAGTATGCTGAAGTGTAGTAGTGAGGACTTCTGGATGAGTCAGGCTGAGCCTTCGGATGTTTGGGGTCGTCTGAGGTCGAAGAAGCCGCCAAGAAGGCCCTCAAAGCCCGAGATTTTCGGCACAAAACGCGGGAACAACCGGCGGAAATGATTTCCTGCAGACACCATGAAGGCCATCGAGGACCATAACTCCCAAAGATACCTTGTCTTCAGAGCTTACTCCCACGGAGACCATTATGGTGTGGCCTAACGAACCCGAAAATATCCTAGTGCCCTCAAATACCTGTTGAAGTACATGCAACACTGGAGTCCCGAAACCATCTTTGGCACGTCTGGTGGTGAACTACAATGGTAGACATCGCTTGCACAAAGAGAACCATAATGATGGTAGCTACCCGAATGAAGTTCTGGGTTGAAAGCCAAGAAAAGAAAGAGGGTAGAGCCGTCTCGAAGGTGTTGCCCACGGGCCAGCGCGCAGACGGCCAGTTGAACAACATCCATCACCAGATCACCCGGTTCTCCCCGAAAGCGTGGCATGGACCGCAAGAGTGGAAGGGTCAAAGGGTTCTTCTGGGTTCGTATGTGGCAAAGGGACACCCATTTCTGTCCGAGGAACGGCAGGTCTTACAGGAGGTTGGATTTCAGATTCCTGAGAAGTTAGTAGGAACGGATGCTGCGTTCGCTGCCCGGGGTTTACGATTAGGACCTCACGGCCCGACATGGAGGTGTGAAGAGCAGTGTTAATATGCTGAAGCGTACGAATGTGGACGCGGCTGTTGTGACGCTTGCGCAAGAGTGCGCACGAAGTCTCAGTGTCAGTTTTCCTAGTTGGGGCAGCGGTGGATACGTGATACCTCCACATGCATGATGCTGCACACAGATGAGCAACACTTTCAGAATGGCTGGAGGCTGCAAGCATCAAACGCAGAACTCCCTTTTTGAAAATAAACGATCCGTGCATCATGGAACTGGATGTCAATCCTTGACCTTGCAGAGAAGCCAAAAATCGTGCAAGTGACAAGCGGTGGACACAGCGAAATATCAATCAAAGTCGGCCTTGATGCGCGCGTCCAGCTGTACATAGTTGCACTCCTCAGCGGCCGCAAAGAGTGACTGTGCAGGGAAAGCGAAAGGGTCTTGGCCTGTTGAGGCATGACGTTGACCATCACCAGGGGCGTTTGGGCTTCGATGGCTTTCTTCACTCGCCTGAGTCGTGGCTGTGAGGCTCTGTGAGGCCGGCCGGAAGACCACGCTCCAAGCGGCTCCGTCGATCGAGATTCGCCCTCGAAGTCCGCAAAAAAGGCATCCGATTCCTTCCGAACGTAGTACCTGCAGACGCCCGCCCGCATCCCCCTCTTCTTCCGCCGCTCTGTGTGCGGGCCTCGCCTTGCCAGCTGAGGGCCCAGGGAGGGCCAGACCATGGGAGGCCGATGCAAGTGGAAGTTGTCAATCACCTCTGCAAGGAGAAGCAGAACACATCGCAGAGGCACCCGCAGAGAGAGGCACTCCTACTGTCCGCAGAGGTTCGCGGCCTTCAGGACCGAAGGATGCCAGACCACCACGAGCACTTGCCGGCCGCCGAAGCCACTCAGCACGAAGCGCAGGCTCTCCCCCAAGGAGTTCACGCCATAGACGTCCTTAGATATGGTGCGTGTGTCAGCCTGGTCCCTCATCACACACTCTTTACATTAAAGCCAAGCATCGTTGATGAAGAGAACGCACTTCCCTTCGGGCTGATGGAAACCCATCATGTGTGCTGCCTGGATGTCCGTTCGGCCGCAGATGTACTGGTAGTGCTTACCTCAGTCTTTTCTTAGAGGGGCTCAGACACCACGTAAGTGTCAGGATCCCATGGATCGATTGCAATAGAAGCGCCTTCCGGCATTTGCTCCAGGAAGATGTGCAGATACTGGATGTATTCGAACCTCGCTGTGTAAATATGATGCAGAGCGTATTACCCGGTATTGATTACCGACTGCAATATGTGCTAGCCGTCGCCATTTTGCAGGTCGGGGGCGCAGAGCAACCGTACAGGGGCACGCGGCTCTCGCAGCCCTTTGCAAAAGTTCCGAGGACATCCCGCATGAACTGCATCTCCTGCAATCCCGGAGCAGTGTGTGCTTGTATGGGATTGGGGTATGACTGTGCCTGGCACCCTCTATGGCTCCATGCACAGCTCGTTCAAGCGAGAGAGAGAGAGGGAGAGGACATACAAGAAGAGAACAAGCCAAGTAGCTCAGCGACGCTCATGGAACAAGTACGCCGATGATGATGGAGAGCACAAGCTGCTAACCCTATAAGACAAAGAAGAACGACAAGCCGCCACCAATGTCGAAGAGTAGCGAAGCCTTCCACTCGCCAAAGTAGAGATATCAACGACAGAAAAATCAAAGCAGCAAGTTGGAATGGACAAGTCTACTTCAGAGTCCTTTGACTTCTTGATGGGTTCGATGTCTCCAAGGACTGGAGGAAGGTTCATCTTCAGGCCGCGGACCACAACCATGTGCATGCCTACATGGACGGCCGAGGCAGTGAAACTCAAGGACTCAGCCCGAGGCAGCTGCCCGAGGCGTGGGGCCTGGCTTCGCTTCGCCGGCGAGGAACTTAAGTGTCTTGTCCTGGGATGGCGCAGAACTCACAGCTCCCAATCCAGACAGGCACATGTACTGGGCTTGGCCGAGGCACGCTGAGGTAGATGAGGATCTCCCTCAAATCCTGCTCAGTCTCGCCTGGGGCACCCGACACAAGAAAGCCGTCCTCCCAATCCCCAGCAAGGAGCCGAGAAACAGATACAGATTTTCTGGTGCTCTGCGATGACGTCGTAGAACTGGGTATTGTAGAGCACCTGGGCAGCCCAAGCATTGAGACCAGAGGGACACCACTCCAGACCCAACAGCGTGTCAGAAGCCACTTAGCTGCTGTTGCTTCTGCTCCCTTATAAGCGCAGGAACATGCAACTAAGCTCCAGCACATGCTCTTGCTCCTTTGTGGCCACCAGATTGTCTTCAATGGCCCAGGCCTGGACGGCTTACAGACCGAGAACCCAAGAGTCACCAGGCAAGTGATGTGTGACAACTATGCAGCTTCCGACGATGTGGGCTGCGACTTGACATGCAAAGCTGCTCGGCTGGGTTCTGCAAGTGGGCGTTTGTGTTGCAGTTGCCGGGGTGGACAGCAAAAACAGGGCGAGGTGAAAGTTTGGACCTGTCCCTCCCTTCGTGAGCGCAGGAGTGTCATGAAAAGGTTCACGCAACTATCATGTGGACAACAGGTTCCGCCCTGGAAAAAAGCCTGACACAGTCATACATTGGGTGTTCCGGTGCGGCGCCCGGCCTCGTTGCAAAGGCTCACTTTTTCCGTGCAGGAAACGCTACCGTTCAGAGACTTTGCGCCTTGTTGTTGAAAAGGAAAACGTTGGTCAAGGAGTTGGCAGACTTTCCTGCCACCAAGAAGGCTTCTGGTGTACGGCAGGCGCCCACTAAAAACCGAGCTTCAAGGTGGCATCCCTTGCCTTCCATCAAGTGCAGAGTCAACTCGGTCCCTCCGTTCAAACGGCAGGCTCCGTCCTCGGCTCCGAAGACGAACCGTGAGAGAAAAAAAAACCTTCAGAAGGTGATCTAAGTGGCTCCAATGTAGAAGTTGTAGACGCTCTTCCTGGCACGCTGGGCGATGCGCTCAGTGAGACCGGCGAGACGTTCTCAAGACAATCGACAAAGATCCCTCATTGCAGTGTTCTGCTGTTTGCTTTCCAAGCCGCTTCTTTGCGAGCTCCTCCACAGTGATGACCTGCCCCAGCACGACTGCGAGGGGTACACAAATTGGCTTCTCTCGGCCTGGTTCAGCTTCGACATGATGTGCCCTTAGCGAGACAGGTCGCGAAACAGGGCAGCTGGTTGACCACTAGACTGAAGGTCGAGCCGATGCTGGCATCCCGAAGCATGGCCAATCCATCAGCATCTGTGAGAAGCGAGGTACCCTTGCAACCAGGTCATCAGTCCCTAACCGGGTGAAGGGTTTGCACTGCCCGCCTCTGAAACGATAGTGGCCTGCAGCACAGACACCTCGGCTTGGTAAGATTTCTCTACACCTGGATGAGCGTTCTGGGCTCTTAGTCCAGGGCTGTTAAACCTGTATCGTAGTAATTCTTCACCTCAATGCCCGCGAGTCCAACAGCCACCACAGTTCTGCAGGGGCAGAAGACGCCGGGTGCCGCGCGATCGTCTCAGGACTGGAGCGAAGGATTATGCAAAAGGGCATGCATGAGCAACGAGTCATGCATGAGCAACGTGCCATACGTGTTTCCACTTCTTATCTTCTTCGGCTCCCAATCGTGGTGCGAGGATGGCTCTGATTTAGGCATTGGACTTCGCTCCACGAACCCGAACCCGCCATTGTCGGCCGGCCCCTTCTCTCTGTCCCTAGCACAGTCTCCAATAGCTCTCCCTATCGTGTCTTCACGCCACCGACAACGGCAGGACCGCATTCCGCAGCGAAAGCTGTATTGTTAGCGACAATTTAGCATCGAAGCAGTTTCAAGTATCGGGTTGCTGCAGCATCTGTGCAGCAGGCGCTGAAGGAAACCTCACCGCAAGGTAAAGCTGAGTCAGCAGCTTCGCCAGCTTGACGCTGTTGGTGAACTTCACGTAGTCTGCCTGTGTGCATTGGACGAGGCGAGGGGACTTCCCTGACTGATGCTGACTTGGACAAACAGCTTATGAGACTGGGCTTCCAGCCAAACACTTGAACCCTCCAACCCGCTCTTTTCCGAATGTCAGCTTCGTAGGTGCCGGCAACGCCTGCAGCGCGTCTGCACTCAACAGTTCTGGTCCGACGGCAGGTCGCATGCAAGGCCTGTGGATACCCATATGCCTGGCAAACTCAATCTGACCGCTGCCCCAATCAGAACTAGCCCGGACACCTTCTGCAAAAACGTCGTCTTTGTGTGGTCTCCCAGTCCCCAACCAACTGGTCCTGGCCACAGTTGAAGGCAGGGGATCAAGCCCAAGGCGCGAAGGGTCTTGCCTCGCTCTTTGAGTGCGTGGCAGATCGCCTTCAGGACCTGGGTGCTGATGCAAAGCAGCAGGGCCAGCTTCAGCAGATGCCATGATTTAACAGCACGGACGAAGTCGAACTTGCTTTAGCGCAAGCATGCTATTTTGGCGCAAGCCTGCAGCTTCTGCTTGTGCTGATCTAGGCCATCTGTACATACAGCTTAAATTACATGCATGATGTGCTGACGGGACTTACTAACTTGAAGCCATCGGACACCATGCGAAGTTCACACTTCTTGTTGGTTCAGTGTTGAAAGCCATTCATTTCCTCGGCTGAGTGGCGGGTCACTCACCCAAGTTTGGTCATGTTCCACAGGCGCTCCACTCCCCCCTCCCCCGCATTTGGCGACTTCGATTCATCATATATCTTAAACATGCCCCCCTCATTTCGCGATGCGGATTCATCCTATATCTTGTCTTAAACACGCCCCATCATTTGGCGATCTGCTTGCTTGCGTGCCCTAGCTGGCTGGCTGGCTGCCTGCCTGCCTGCCTGCCTTGCTTTGCTTTGCTTTGCTTTGCTTTGCTTTGCTTTGCTTTGCTTTGCTTGGCTTCGCTTGGCTTGGCTTGGCTTGGCTTGGCTTCGCTTCGCTTCGCTTCGCTTCGCTTCGCTTCGCTTCGCTTCGCTTGGCTTCGCTTGGCTTCGCTT